AATCCCAATCCACCGCAAATTCGAATTTGGGAATTATCCCCCAATCAAGTAAGATTATCCGAATATTAATTTCTTTTAAATATTTAATTTCCTAGTTTTCGGATAATTTAGATATTTCGTGAATATTTTGGTGGATAGCTAGATATCTTAAGATAATTTTGTGATATCCGCAATATTCAAAAATACCCAAGATAATTTTGTGATATCCGCAATATTCAAAAATACCCAAAATTAGGAATAAAACATATCTCCCTATGTTTTATTTAGGTTTCTAATCGACCTACCGCAAATAGATTAGTGACGACTTCAAGCATGAAAACTTTTGCATGTTAAAAACTTAAACCTTAAGTCGTGAATTGATAGGACTTAGGAGGGCCCGAGTTAGGCTTAGACTTAATAATTCATTAGCCGAACCCTAGGTAGTGCAGACCCGCGGGAGGTTTAGGTTGCGACAAATCGACAATAAGACAAACGACCTTAGAAATATTTAACACTAATTTTTATTACCGCCGTACGAATTTGCAATAAGATTGGTGTACGTATTTGCCAGAAGATGGAAAAGGATGCCTCGGACGTTGTCAAACAAGAGCAAAAGAGCTACCGAAATCCTCCTCCCGGCAATCCATCTTGCCCTTGGCTCGTGATATGCCATGGACGGGAAGGGCAGAGGCAAACTTTCTACGACATTTCGGAGGACCGCCGCCATACGAGGATCATTCCCGACCTGCGCAACAAGTGGATCTGCACTACTTCGAGTCGCGAATGGTTGTTCGTGGAAGATCAAGATTCTGGCGATTGCTGCCTTTGGAAGCCCGCTTCTCTGGAGAAAATCCGACTCCCGCCTACGGAAGACCTCGTGTTCTCTTGTTGTTTCTTGTCGTCTTCGCCGAGCGATCCTCAATCACATGTTCTGTTGGTTGATCTGGGAGAGGACGTTGTCGCATTTTGCAAACCCGGCGAGGATGCATTCAAGAGGCACAAGGTCGAACCTTACATCAGTTGTGCCGCGATGTTCAAAGGGCAAATTTTCTTGCTGCTCAAGTATTGTGAATTGGCTGTTGCCGACGTAGAGAACTCGGAGCTGCGAATCCGAGCATTGGGGAACAAAGGCATTAATTGGTCAAATCCCGGAGGCATACCGGCGTCGCGCAGTTATCTGATCTCGTCCGGCGAAGACCTGGTAGTCGTGGAAGAGATGATCTACGCCCTTCCAAAGGGGCGGATCTACGGATTTAAGGTCTTCCGGATGAATTTTGCAGAAGGGACATGGGAGGAGCTGAAAAGCATCGGCGACCGAGCAATCTTTCTTTCTGCTCGTGGAGGAATTTCTTGCTCTCCAAAAGACTCGAGAGTTAAGAAAAATGCCATATACTTTGTGCAGCATGACGATGGACATATTGGCATGTATGACTTGGAAGATCAGAGCATTTCGAAGGTGTCGCCTTGCTCAAACATCGATTACCGTCCATCATATTTACGTTGGATCATGTTGTGACACATGACGTCATCCGATATGAAATAAAATCTAAAGAGTTGATGTATGTTTTGAGTAAGACAATACAATAAAAGGGTACATCTCAGGAATGGTGCCGTACCACATTCTAGCAAGATTAGGATTGTATGGGAGACATACGAGACATTAGTGTCCATAAAATTTCTCTGAATTTCTTGTAAGCATAAAAGGTTATGGAGATTTCACAAGAAGGATTAACTTAAAGTAAGATTGTTCGGGTTAAAGTTGCTTGACATTTGTAATCATGATTGTTTAGCATTGTTGTTCCGGTCATCGGAAAAATCAAGTGTTTGTCGGTCAGCGAATTAGGCCCTTATTTGAGATAAAATCCGCATTGAGTAGGGGTGTGTAAAGGAATCGAGAACCGTTCAGAACCGGACCGGAACCGGCAGTTTCCGTGGGGACCGGTCCAGTTCCAGATTCCAATTTACTAGAACTTGTGAGTATCGGTCCAATTCCCGGTCCTCGACGTAGAGCCGTCCGCCTGCCCACTTGGACCGGACCGGTAATATATATATGTGTAATTTTTAAGAAAAATTCCCAGAAAAAAAAAAAGAAAACATTTTAAGAAAAATGAAAACCCTAAAATCCCTAATATAAAGCTCAACACTCATCAACTAAGTACTCGTCTTGTCTCATTCAATCTCGCTCTATCTGAGTTGTCTATCTATCTCTCATTCATAGTCTCGGCCGTTAACTTATCGCCTATTGACTCACGACCTCGCTCTCAACTCCTATCTACTCACGGTTGCGCACCTCCGGCCATTCATCGACTCCCTCTCTCGCTCTTGGCCAACTCCATTGGGACCGGTTCCATGGATCCACCCGGGAACCGGCAGTCTAGTTCAGTTCTTGGGTGGATTGATGAAACCAATGGACGGCTTCCGGTTCCATGGTGAAAACCGTCCACTCGGGCCATGCTCACTCCTAGCATTGGGTCCTCATTTAAGAAAATCACTCTACTTTGGATTTTTTTTTTGAATTTTCCCTGAACCAAGCTTAAACTCCAAATATACGAAGTTTTTAATGTATGCACTTTTCGAAGTTTAGTGTTGCGTTTTGCTTCCATTATGTCTAAAGGGATTCACATGGTTTCACCTTTCATTTTGTTCTTTTTTCTTCAGCTTTTATTCGTCCCTTCCATAAGCCCATTGACACTAAAAAGAAATGACGGTATATACTTAGTGGAGACATTAATTACCCAAAATCAGCAATCGAAATTGTGCCAGCGTGGCAGGAAGTAACGATATATATATATCGCACTTTCTCTCCCTCACATAATCAGAGAGAAAGAAAAATTAGAAAGAAAAGAAAAGCAGAAGGAGAAGGAGAAGCGGGAAAAGGAGGAGGAACGACGCACGCAGCCAGAGAAGACACGTCGAAGAAGATGGCAGGAGATCCCAAGAAGAAGACTGGCAAGAAGGGCTCGAGCTCTGTTCCCAACCCAAAGAACAAGAAAGGGATCAGAGAGGATTTGCAGAGAAGCGGGTTCAAATGTCGGAGATGCCCTCGGGGGTTCAACACTCTGGATCAGTTGATACAGCATGTGAACGATAACCATAAAACCTAAAGGGAGTAGAAGGAGGAGACCAATCCTCCTTCAAACAACAAAATATAGCAAGTTAGCTTTTAGTTTCTGTGCATTGTTTAATACGTGATCGCTTTCCTTAACGTGTGCTTTCTTTTTTTGTCTGCAGGTTTCCATCACGTCAAGAACTCTTGACGTCAAGTTCTTGAATCAAGAACTCTTGAACCCACATTTTCTTTTTTTGAAAAACAGAATTTCTTCTTGTTTTGATTAATTTTTAACATTGATTCTTAACGAGCCTGATATGGATGACTGTGATGGCTTTGAAAATCAGGGAGGATGCGGTTGCAATGGTTGAAGAATCACCATTAGGTACTAAATGTTTCTTCTGTGTGCGTGTCCTCGTTAGTTTTCCCCTTTCAATGGTTTCCCTTCACATAAAGCTAGGAGATCAAAGATTCAAAAGAATATATTAAATGGTCGGAGAAAGAAGATGAGGAGATCGTTGTGATATAGGAAACTGGGTTCAGGATCCTGCATTATATTGGGTGCGGATCCGAGGTTGTATACTGCAATCCATCTTTTGTCATTTGACACTAAACCCGTCTTGGTAATCTGTTAGGCGATGAAGCGGCAAGTAGTAACGACTCAGGCTGGAGCATGGACTCTTCCACAGTTTTTCCCGCTTTTTACGACTTATTCTTAAGCTGTAAGTTGGGTTTGTCTTCTCTTCCTCTTTGCTCCCCTGCTTCTCATTTTCCCGTGTCCTCTAGCTGGAGGAGGACTGGATATGTGTTGTACGCCGTCGCTGTGTATTGCGAAGTCCATTTGGATTCTTGATGGTGATTTTCTTTTAGGAATGTTGTCCTGTGAATTCGGTCTTTGTTTCGTGGTTACGACGGGGTCGAAAGTAGGAACTGGTCAGCGTTGGGGGACTGCAGCATCCGCCTGGATGTTCTTTATTATTGTCGCTATCACCGGTGAAGCGATCTAGTAGAATTAGAGCATGTTGTTGGCTAGCAGAATTAGTAAGAATCGAGTATCTCGTGGCACAAGGTACTCCGTGGGATCTCGTGATTGTCCGTGCTCATGGTAAAGGCGTTGGTAAATGTTGAGGGTACGATGACCTTCCCTTTGTTGTCCAAGCATTTCTGCGGACCATCTTGTAGGATACTCAGAATTATGCGGAAAAGAGTCCCTTTTCACTGATTTCTGCTTTCCATTAATCTGCTTTCCATTAATTTTTTATCTTCTGAAGTTTATGGTTATGGCGAAGTATTATACGCCTGTGCCTATCTCTTATTCCTGTTTCGTGTCCGATAATTTCTGCAGCTCTTTCAACCTATATTACTTGGAAAACTGTTCAATAGTAATTTTGGAGGTGATCATTTGTTATTAGATCGTCACCCTCTCATGTTTGTGTGATTAGATATGTCGTTCGAAGAAGAGGCATCCAAAATTGCCATTTTCCATCTTGGTTGTAAGGCATGTCTGCTTCTCCAGCTAAACTTGGCTCCATAGAATTGTAGGATGATGATGTGCTGCTTTAAATACTGTGTATGTATGCATTACCTTTTACTGGTTCGAACGATTCTGCTGGAACATTACGTAGGACAGGTGTTACTGCTAGCAGCGCTATCTTGCTTTGTTCTGCTTGTCCATGATCAATTTTTGACATCTTCTTTTCCTTTTACTTCGGCAATATATGTTATTTTTCTGATGGGGTTTTATTCTTCACTGCACAGAATAAAAATTCGATATCGGTGACTTCCGAGTGAGAAATGCATAAATTTCCACTCAAGATGTCACCTGCTTATGGATACACGGATTCTCATCCCCGTCAGAGCTACATAACGCCTTGCAGGCAACATCAACAGGCAATGCCAGATGAGATTCCACCTCAACTGGGGATCAACCCGACCGTATTTCCTGTTCCACGTGAGCCCTTGCCATACCCTTATGCCGGTAATTGCAGCTATCCTGCGCCATGCCATGCTTGCTATAACCACACGGCAACTCCCAGCTACTATCACAGACCACCCTACCCTCACTTTTTTCCAGCCACCACCGTTTCATGGTTGGGGACCTTATCCTGGGAATGCCGAACCCTTTGCTAGTCATTATGAACTGCCCTACCCACCAGCTTATCCATTGGAACGACCATATGTGGTTCGACAACACCATTGCTGTGGATGCCCTAATCATGTATGTGACCCAAAGAACGAAAAGGGTGTCAAGATAGAAGAGCAGGTGCCGCTAGATTCAGACAAGAAGGGTGAGAATTATTCAGAGTCCTTGGTGCCAGCGAACTGGAGAAACTTTCCATATCCGATTGTTTGGATCCCACCTGAAAATAACAGGAACAAAGAGCAGGGAATCGATGCCAAACCAAGGATCATAGATCTTGATACTGCTTCCCAGGAAAAGAAACCAGCTCTTTCATCATTGCAGAAGGAACCTGGGTGGAATAGTTGGTTTCCTCTCTTCATGGGTGACCATGACCATTCAAAACCAGGAGGAGAAAAGAAAAGATCTCATAATCAGCATGTGCGCGACAACGAAAGTAGCTATCCATTTCCTGTCATCTGGATTCCTTCTTTTGATAAACAAGAGGAGGCAGGGACTGAGAAGGACCAACAAGCCAATACACGGGAATCTCCTGAATCCAATTTCACGGTATTCCCGATGCAGATTCATAACAATCATAATAAAACTTCAGATGGAGGACCGCAAGAAAACTATGAAAATGATGTTGGGTCACACCATCAGGATGCGGAGAAGAACATTCATGTGAAAGACATAGAACCTTGTGTGGGCAAGAATAACTCGCGAGACTCTCAAGAAGCAGCAGCAAATGCCTTGAAAAAAAGAGCTATAGATACCCTCGTTGATAGAGTCCCTGGATCTGATGCCAGAAAGTCATCATCATCCCCGACGAAAACATCAAAGTTGCCCCCGGTTTGTCTGAGAGTTGATCCCTCGCCGAGGAAGAAAGGCCGCAATGGTAGTTCAAGATCTCCTAGTCCTCCAAGTTTTGAAACGAAATCTCACAGTTCAAGTGATGCATCTTCTACAGACAGTAACGAACAAAAGTCACGCCCCCAAAGCATAAACAGAACTTCAGAGGAGCACCCGAAAAGGAAATAAGTGAAAGTCATTGAGGTGAAGGGGGCAACTCCTAGTCCTAGCAACAACAATAATGGAGACTTACAAAGCAGTTTGCAGGTTGAATATCCAGAAAAGATTAAAGAGAACAAAGAAAACAGTGAGAAGGATGAGGTTTGTGAAATTAAAGAGGACGAGGGAGCTACAATTGCAGGTGATGAAAGCACTGAAAAAAGAAGTAAGGAGTTGGAAGCCTCAAGAACTCTATCTGATGAAGAAGCTGCTATGCGCATTCAGTCTGCCTATCGCGGTTTCCAAGTGAGGAAATGGGAGACCCTGAAGAAACTAAAGCAAATGGCGAAGGTTCGTGATGAGGTGACTAAGGTAAGGAAGAGTATCGAGCAGCTAGCATCTTCATATGACACTTTGCCTGATCAAGGGAAACTTGACAGGCAGAAAGTACTCATTGGAGAATCTATAATGAATCTTCTTCTACGACTTGATACAATTCAGGTAAGCCAGTTGATATAATGAATTAAGTTGTTTACATTTTACTTAACTCTGTAGGTAGAAGAGAGCAGGGTAGGAGCCCTGCATTCATTGGTAATCACGGAATTGTCGGAAAATGGGAATCGAGATGAGAGAAGGGCTTCATCATGCTGTGGCTTTTCAAGCGTCTCTTTTTTTATTTCATGAATATTTTGGGTTTATTAGATCTTGAAGTGCCTTTCAATATTTGAACACCTTTTTATTAATCTACACAACCCTGTTATTGGTTATCACAACTTGGATGCTAGGACACTGCAACTGAAGATTTTACAAAAGAGTGCTCATCTTAACCCTTTTCAGCTGTATGTCTTTGAGTTTGCTTTTTGCTATGGATAGCTGAAAACTTTTTATGGACTTATTTCTGTGAGATGCTTCTAGTTCTCTTTGTTGATTCTAGAGCTCCAGGGATTACATCCTAATTTGCGAGATATTCGAAAATCATTGGCGAGGGAGCTAGTTACTTTGCAGGAGAAACTCGATTCTTTGACAATGAAGTGCCTGGAGGAATCTGTTGATAACTCTGATACTGCAAGGAATGATGAATGTACGGTCAGCAAGAAAGAACACCATGAGGAAGCAAAGAGACAGTTTGAAGAGAGCCTTTCAGTTAGTGAGAACATTGGTGGTCAAATTAAATCAGACGAACTGCAACTTCTCAAGGCTGGAAATTCGGTATCTGAACCCTCAGAGAATGCATGCTCGGGTATCATTGATGGTCAGACACAAGTGGCAGTCAAGGATTTGAAAAGGGAAACATCAGCATCCTTGGATGTGGAGTCGCAACAAGCTGCCTTGCAGCATTGTCCTGTACAGGACTTCAGACATCTAAACGAAATTGATGATGGCGAACCATCTGTGGTCAGCATTATAAAGCCTATAGAGACTAATCCGGAGCATCCTTCTGGAGGAAAGTATGAGAGACTAGAGGTGGCCACGGTGGAGAAAAGTATCTATGATTCTATGGTTGAAGATGAGATTAGGCTGGCATCCGATTCAGGAGATGGAAGCAGCACAAAGATGGAGTTTATGATCAAAGATCAAGGAACTTCTGCTCTGCAACCATTGCCACAAGCAGATGAGGAGAAAGTAGCCATGGCGTCGGACAGTGCGGGAGTGGAGCCGGATACTTTTACTGGCCCAACCCTGTGCACTGGAGATGATGACTTGATATCTCATGGAAGAGAACCTGAAGTGGAAGCAACAAGCAAGATTCATATTGCAGAAGAAGATGTTGCGGATTCTGTGCTTAGCATGCATGATAAGTTTGGCAAAGTAGATTCTGTGCTCAATGGACATGATAAGTGCGATGAAGGTAGCGATGCTGTTACTTCTCCAGAAAATTTTGGCAAACTGACCATTGAGACGCAGCAGCTGGAAGTGCCCAAAGCATTGACTTCAGATTCGGAAGTAGTTGACAATGTGCATCTAGAGCAACTGGTTGCACCAGGACCAGATGATTTGTCACCTGCTGGCTCTCTAAAGAGTGAGGATTCTTCTCAGGATGCATCCATTGGAGCGGAACGTGGCCAGAGACATGAAGAGGGTATCAGCGATGAAACTCTTTTGCCTCCTCGACCAGAAGAAGCTCAGCTGGGGATGTTAGGACCCGCAGTGGAAACTTGTCGAGATGAAAATGAAGATAAGGCCATTATCTCTGCTGATCTTAGCTGCAATTGCTCTGAGATGTTGAACGTTGAAGCTCTAGCTTGGGAGAAGGAAGAATTGATTGCAGCAAATGTGAAGGATATCGACCTGACAACACATGTTGGAGAGCAAGTGGATGAACAAGGAGATAATCGCGAGGAGGAGGTGGTTGTTGCTCTGGAAAAATCTATCTCAGATGAAGGTGCTGAGCAAGTCGGGCAGTCACTGCTTAGTCTCGATGATTTAAATGGGAGCAGGCCTGTGGAGGAGATGGACGGCAATCAGAAACTAATCAAAGAGAACGAGAAACTGAGGGAGATGATGGAGAAACTGATGGAAGCGGGGAAAGAGCAGTTGAACTTGATATGTGAATTGACTGGAAGAGGGAAGGATTTGGAGAGGAGACTGGCCAGGAATAAGAGGGTGAAATCAAGGTGCAGAACGGTGGCGGCAAAGCCTCGATCTGTGCATGCCAAGTCGTGCGCGGATTCTATGAATTGAGAGGGTGGCTGATTAATGTCTCATAGGCAAGTCTTCACATAAGTTTCTGGGAGATGAGATAGTTTGGTGATGCGGGTGTACGTTGGAACAAATACAAGTTTATGTCATGGAATAACTGTCTGTTGTAAAGCTTGTCCTCTCTGTTACTGGCTTATTGTTTCAATTAGTGTGTCGCATGATGACCGTGTGTTTTCTGTCTCTGTTGCATAGATGCACTGATGCATGCTTTAAATAGATCTAGCTCTCTGACGAGAACAAGATGAACTTATAGTAAATTTCCTCGACTCTTTCCCACAATGCAAGAAGGCCTGGCCCAAGAAATGCAACACCAAAAGGCCAAACTGGGCTTTGAAAGAATCAATCCGCTCTTGTGAATACATTATAGATGCGGAAAGCCCAAAATGGTGGAGCCATCAATCTTTGGGCCAAGCTTGTGGGTATCATCTTTTTTACCAAATCTGCCGACGAACGAATCATCTCCTTAACGACATTTCCTTTTGCTCTTAAGCTGTCCTCACGTCCAAACCACCTGTAGGAAACTAAATTGGTTACGCAGCCTGCAATTAGCGCCCTTTGCCGATGCCCAGAATCGTGCCATTTATAGACACCTGCAAAACGTCATCGATTCGCTCACCAAAAGGAAGAAAGTAAAGGGGGAACTTGCATGAAAATGAACGGGCAAAAATGCCCAAGTGAGCCTTTTTTCACTAGTCTGGAATCACGAGAGAAAAACCTGTCATCACCATCGAAACACCAGTCACTCACTGACCAAATGATGCAAATCTGCTTCTTGAATCGTGCAATGCACGACACCCACTTACGAAACACGAGGAAAATTAAGAAGAAGAAGATGAAGAAGCGCAAGGGCAGGAAAGATGGCACGAAGCACGATGACACTGACTGAATTGACGTCGAAAAATAAAGCTAAAAAAATCTTTCTTTTTCCTTGGCATGGGGATCGATACACGGCTCTGATGCCTGCTCGTCCCTCCTCTCTGCTCCATCTGCTTTCTTTATTTGATTTTACCCCCTTCACATCTCCAGATTTATCGCCGACTCTGCAACAAGTGCACGCACACAGACACAGACACACACCCATTATTTTATGCATTTTTGTTTGTAAACCAAAACAAGAACCGTCTCTGCTCTCGGAGGTGATTGTGACTTCTTTGTGGGGTCATATTCAAATCAACTACACCTTTTGTAATCACCATTATCTGTATTTTAACTTCTATCTGTCTGGTCTGGTCGCAGAGGAAATTTGATCTGCTGGGTCTCGTAAAGAAAAACGTCCGGTCTTCACTTTTCGTCCTTTTTCTTCACCTTACCTCCATTAGGGTTGACGAGGGTGAGCTTGCACGAGTTTTGCATGCGCCCACGTTTAGCAGGGCGGTTTCAGACCTTGTGACACCCCTACGAACGTATGAATCCATGCTGGTACATAGTGAATTCACTGTGCCTGGTCTAATGTACAGTGCACGTAGTGATGATGTTCTGTCCTTGTCGGAAACTCAAAGCATTAGTTGTCACGCACGCTTCTCCACTGAGGAAATTTGTCCATGGACCATGTGGTCGACAGAATCAAGATACATCTCCAAAGCTCGTGCCTTTTGATATACAAACAGCTTGGCCAACTCGGACGATTCGATGAGTTTAAATACTTCACTTTCTCGACATGTATGACCAATCGTTCCGTGACGAGCAATGAAATCAATTGGACATATTTAATGCATGGAATGGACCATGGGAAGATCCGAAATCTTCGATTCGTCACTTGGTGATGGGCTCTGCAATGATTGAATGGTCCAAACTCGCCTTGTTGCCAAGATTTGCATGCTTCCCGTGCTTGGACGATGTCCTTGTTTTGGTCACTTGCCCCTGATTAATAAGTTAATTAATTGATTATGATTGATTGATTATTATAGAGTGCATAAGCTTCTGATCTCGCTCTTTTCTATAGTTCAATTCTGATGTCCATGAATGACATGTAGTTCAGTGGTCGTTGAAAGTCATGGCCGCCTAGTTCATAGACCACAGTCGGGTCATTTTCACAACTGCTCTGCTCACCTAAACTTGCATTATGAGCTTTCATGCCCTCATCAAACTTCGAAAATATGTATAAATGTAAAAAAAAAAATCTGTTTTATTTCGTCATATTCTTTTTTTGGGTCGAAAGAAAGATTCCATAATACTCGATAGGTACATTGAAGGTTTTCAAGCCTAACAAAGCAAATACCGAAATGTAAATAATAAAGCATAGTCTGCAATTAGAGACACGCTCTCGTCCCTTAAGAATAGATCTGCAACCGTTCGGCAGTCGATAAACAGATTCAGTGATGAGCACATGCTTATATCTCAAACTCCATTTGCAATAGCTTGCGATGCACGTCTAGATTCAATGTCCTTATTACCATCGCTGTGTAGAGACATCAGAATGAATACAAATCGAATACTTGTAAGGAACTTCCACGTTTATATTTAGATCTAGTTCGGGAGAGTAAAACCTCCATATCAATCTAGTCAAGAGAGCGGCCTAATCTCGAAGAGGTTGTGGAGCCATGTCACAAATATCTTCATCGGTGGTTGTCGACCGGACGAATGGCCAAATTAGTCTCCACGTTCACCCAAGATCAGCCGCAAAAAATTATCACACACAAACTCCCAAAATAGAGAAAAAAGAAAAGAGAATCAAAGCAATAAAAAAAAAAAACAAAGACTGGGAGAGCTTAAAAAAAGTGAAGAGTTTTTGGGAGATGAGAGGGATTTGCCGACAGATAGAGAAAAGAGCACAGCCCTAGAACTTTCCTCATATTCATTAGTATATAGTCTGCCATCATTAGCAAGATTTGAGCATTCGCTAGGTGGGAGGACATCAATGTTTTCATGCAGGCTCTTGCTATAATAACTCGCTTCGCAACATTATGAAAATTGAAAAATTGCATGTCACAAGCATACTATGTACCAAAGAATAGAAGATTGTATTAGGATGGGGCGTCTCATTATAGCCATTACATAACGATCTACATGCACTCTTTCAAGTTTGTTCTCTTCTTTGTAACATATAAGATTATTGTTTCAAAACGCAAACGCATTCATTCTAGTCAATATTATCAGTTCCAATAATGTTCATACATTAAATAATGCTATATTTCTCTTGTATTTCGTAATGTCATGTTTAATAGTATACGCAACTTTTTTTTTATGTGTTTACAATTATATTACCGTACTTTTACATATATACACACATGGAGATCTACAAATAGGCTCATTCATTGGAGCTCCGTTTTTCTTCTTCTTTTCTCTCTTTTTTTTTTTGAGCGGTTGATTGAGTTATGTAAGAATCAATAGAGGAAATATGAGACTATTTTCACACCATTTTTACTAAAAGCCACCTATTTTAATGAACCGGCCAGGATGCCCTTCAAAACCCTACTCGAGCAAGCATTATCAATTTTTTTTCTTTCCTTCCTATTTTCTCTTTCTTCTTGTTGCACATTGTTTGAAATCAAAGGCCATCACGTTCATCCTCCAAAAGGGTCTCGTCATATTTTTTCTTGCCATGCTAATTAGGGAAGAATTACCCAATCGGTCGTAAACCTATTGTACGGATACTAATTCAATTCTAAACTTTTCAATTTTGCCAATGTAGTCTTAAGCCTTTTCGAGAAATTTTAATGTAGTTTTTCCGATTAATTGCCATAGGAAATTGTTGATGTGATGTCCAGTCATTGCCAACCGTTCTATATGACATGCTGAGGTCAATGGAAAAGAAAAGCCCGAGTTGATTGATTACTCAGATGCATATCTCGAAAGTCCACGTCAAGTTACTTGGTAACTTTTTCCGGGAAGGCAATTTCTTAGCAATCAAGATTATAAAAATGTGTGGTATTGTCTATGACTGAAGTAGACTACTAAATTACGTTCGGTATTGCTATTACAGATTGAGGTAAGGAACTCTCGTGGATGAAGAAATTCCTATAAGAGTTGGGTTTGAAGCAAGAGAAATTTATTTTGTATTATGCCTGTATGAGTATTATCTACCTTAGTAAAAATCCGAGTGCTGTATTCAAGATCGAAGCCAATTAATGTGAAATGTCATTGGATTTTCGAGAAATTAGAAAAGAAACTCTTTCTACTTGAAAAAGTCCACATCAATAATAATGGAATTATATGATGACCAAAATCTAACTCATGGTAAAAATTGATTATTGTATAAATAAAGCGGACATGAGGGAGCTTCCCTCACAAGGTTAAGGAGGAGATTTGTTGGGCCGGTCCCCCTCATGGGACCCAACTCCTCATTACTAAAGAAGAAGAAGCAAGAAAGAAAGAAAGAAAGAAAGAAAGAAAGAGGAGAGAGTTTAACGGGCAATAGGGACCCTAGAAAAGAAAAAAAAAAAAGAGGGAGAGAGATCGCCGATTTGGAGAGGAGAAGAGGCAGCCAACTTCCAGGAAGATTCGACGGTGAAATATTGTCAGAATTTGCTATGTTGTTCGTGAAATCAAGAGTTACAATGCAAATGCTCTAATAATTGAAATCCTTCTCCAAATTTTCTCTCATTTTTTTATGACAGTGGTTAGATTTTTCTTATCCCTTTGTGTTAATCCACTATTATGATGATAATATATTGTCATATTATGGGATATGTGCACTACGAGTTCTAAAACTTGTTTCGAAAGTGTATTGAGTCATAAAACTTTCAAAAAGTACAATCAAGTCCTAAAACTTATCAAATTGGTACAATCAAGTCTTAAAGTTAGCACCGTCAATTTGTCTAACGAAAAATGTTGACGTGACATTTTTAAATTAATTTCTCTCTCTTACGTGGGATTTTTTTAAATTATTTTTTCCTTTAGATCTTATTTAAAAATATTAAAAACTTAAGAAAAATCTAAAATAATTGCAAAAAAAATGGAAAAAAGAAGAGGTAGGGACTCGCTAGTGGGCTCTACCATCGGCGACCTTCGCCAACCCCACCGCCGGAGGGGCTGGTGAAGGTCGTTGGCCTAGGGCGAGGGTGGCCGGCCTTGGCGAGGGCTAGAGAGGCTCACCTAGACTGGGTTAAGGGACCCAGATTTGGGCGACGCTATCCCTGGGCCGGCGACCATCACCCGCATTAGGCGAGGCCTCATTGGCCCTAAGCAAGGGCCGGTGACAGTTTACTGG